GAAAACACATAATAATTTGAGGTTTACAAGCGGGTATAGTCAGGATCTGTAAGCCTGAGATAAGCTTAAACATAAGGAAAAAATTAAACAAAGTAAAAACTTCTTTACTGTGTCATGTTTTTACTGGATTTTTCACTTTTTTCCTTTAAGGGTGGATCAAAAACTGAACCAGTTGCTCAGAGAGGTTGTGGTCTCCGTCCTTGGAGATATTCAAACCCCTGCTGGACACAGCCCTGAGTAACCTACTCTAGGTGACCCTACTTGAGCAGGAGGGTTGGACCAGATGATCTCCAGAGGTCCCTTCCAATGCCAACTCTTCTATGAATTTGTGACGATTAAAAACAGTTAACTGATCTGTATTGTGCGTGTTAGGGAGCCTAGAACACATAAGAAATTATCTCATCATAAGAATCGAATTTTTCTGCAAAGAAACAAGGAACCAGAAACAATCTCAGAGATTAAGTTTAGATCCAAGTAATGGGAAATTATTTAGGTTTTGTTACACATTTCTTTACAATTCAAGATTGAGGGACACATGAGGGAAGCAGTGGGAATGTACAGCCAGGGCAGGGAAGAGACAGTATGTCTGCAGCTTTCAGCAGCAGCTAGCTGCTAGACCAACTGATGTGTTTCTTGATAAGCATATAAAAAGCAAAAGGTGGGACATGTGAAACTAAAACATATATGCAGGTCAACCATTAAACAGGTATTAGCTGCAAGACAGAACTCATTAATGCAATCTATACTTTCTACCAGTCATTCCGCTCACATGAAAAATTCTGCAAGAAATAATGAAATAGTAAGAGACAAGTGTTAGAAATCCATTGAGGTCACACATTCAGGGAGTAATCTCTTCCCAAGAACTGTATGAACCACTTTAGCCAACAGTTAGAAATGAGGCAGATGAGGTCTGAAGGAAAGAGCTCGTAGCACTTCCAAAAGAAAGAGGGTCACAGTCGAGCAGATGGTGAAGGAGAAGCAGCAATCAAGGAAAGTAAAGAAATCTTGAAAGTGAATTCTTCTCCTCAAATTCATTAAAGGAAGACATTTTTGTAATTGCATATTTAACCAGACCATCTCCAGAAGACTGTGCACATTTTCTGCTGTCTTAAAAACAAAAGCTCTTTCCTGATAGGAAAAAAAAATTAATTCATTCAGATCCGTTTAATGTAAGCAAAAAAAAAAATCCCAGTAAAACATATGTTAACACGCTTTAAGCCAAGGCAGGAATTCCCAGAGATTTTAAGCTACCAGATGTTCCACATTTTGCCACTTTGGTTTTAGGGCACTAACAGAGGTACTGTGATGTAAATCTTACCGTTGTGATGTAAATGATCACTTGACTGCTCTATTCTCCTAGAGGCTACTGCTACTGTAGCAAAACCAGCACAAGGGAAAACGGACCCAAACTGATGACAATCGAGTACTGTCTTTTAAGACTTCCAGAAACATCCATCGGTAATAATGCTGTGCTGATGTGAAGTGTTCTCAAAAGCAGATATTCCTTCTAATAAGAAGGACTGACAGAAGGGAAAGTGTGTCCCCACCTTGGTACTCGAGTGCAAAGACTTGCCAGGGCTCACCTGTCAGAGGAAACCTATCTCCCTCAGCAGTTTAAGTTGCTGGGTTTTGCACTGCAGCAATACATAGACCCTTGCTCTGTGTTACCAACTTTGCAGTCAGAGCAGCTGAGCTCCCTACACCACTGCAGCAAGATTCCTCAGAATTTGCTGCTTGGATTGAATGAACATAATTGAAAAGACTGAACGAATATAACTGAAAAACTTTCCTCTTTGCTCATCAAAACCAAGAAAAACAGTTAAGCAATCAATGTTGCAAGGATCTGTTTGGAAGTTTGTGTTGTAATACCTTGGAGGAAGAGGCAGAAAAGAATTGGCTAACATTGCTAATGACACTCGCTTGCTGTAGCGCTCAAGTCCTTTAGAAACAATTTTAAGAAACTGCTGATTAGATCAGACACTGTCAGCAGATGATCAACACGGCAACTGTTGACAGTGAACTTGTACGAAGAAATGTGTATACACACTAACAAAATTGTCTATACTCTTACAGTGGTAATCTTTGCACAAGTGTTGTGAGAATGGTGAGAAAAAAGTGGTAGTCTTTAAAGATGCCAGGCCTTGTGCAACAGCAAGAAAAAAGAAAGTAAGATGTAATTCATGAGCGATATAAAATAAGGCAAGAGCTGCAGCAATAGCATGGTATCATAGCAGGATTTTGGCCAATAGCATGCAGCCTTTTGAAAAGTGAGTGAAGTTTTTAGCCAGCAACACTATCCAAACAAGGGAAATGACAGTTATTAGAGCTGAAACAAGCCAAAAGACTTGGACGGCATGGGCTAAGTAGGGGGGCATTCTGAACACCTGAGGAAAAAGGACAAATCCCTCTTTTTCCACACAGACACTACAATGAGAACAACTCCAGAATGAAGGAAAATACTTCACGTTTTGGAAGGTCAATCCGTGATACTCTCTGTAGGTCACAAAGTCAAAACTGTAGATAGACTTAAAACAGGTCAGACTGTTTTACAACCAGTAACATTATATTAGCAAGTATAACTTACACACATCTTACTTTTCGGACTTTAAATTGGTCTCCCACGAGAATTAGAGGAAATATTTTTCATCCTAAATACAGCATTATACAAAAGATCAAAAACTTCATATTTTTTTTACACCATTTTCCTCAACACAAGGTTCTGGTCACTGGGAACGATGGAAAAATGGTCTGACCTAAAGAAGCAAATGATGTGCCTCTCTCATACATGAGAAGTAACTGAAAGAGAGATAGCTGCTGGAAGTTTTTGAAAAGAATTAAAATATATTGAAGTGTGGCCTCAATACTATTCCACCAACGCGTCTTCTTCTTATGGATTTGGTCCCTTTAAGTAAGGGATCAAAGTAAGACACAATTCCGAGTTAATTCATGGCTTAACGTTTTCCTGCCTTGTTCAGCACACACATTGTGCAGTGCTTGCTAGCTAACCAGCTGTTCAGCATTTTGTGAGAGCTTCACAGTTTGAAGTGTGGCTCCACACTTGATTTATTTCATGTTATTTTCTGAATTCATTGATAGTCTACTCAGGGGCATGACCAGATTAAGTATCTGATCGCTTCACAAACAAGAATGAATTTATGTCATAGCAACCTATTCTGCAGATGGTGTACTTCTATTATCCCCATTTTCCATGATGGGAAACTGAGAAACAGAAAGATTAATATTAAATAGGTCCAGTAAATTTGGCTGCTCATTCAGAAACATATAATATCACATCAAAATACAGGTCTACTGATTTCACCTGTGTCTGTGAAAGCTCTACATTTCTACAAACTAGACTGAGGTTCTCAAGATGGATTCCACAAAGTGAGCAGTACATAAGTGATTGCTTATGAAAAACATCCATTTTAACGACTTGTTCCTCATCAGGAGGAAGACAACCAGTGGCAAAAGCAAAGCTTGTAGCTCTCTAGAGCAGCATTCAGCTGTCTTCATATGAAGCTCTTCTCTCATTGCAAAGTTTCTACTATTATTTGCTATACATTTTCCAGTTTCTTCAACAAATGAGGCAAGTACCCTGTAGATAATGACCTCCTTAGGAAAACAACTCCTCCAGAGAATGGAATCCTATGGAAAGCAAAAGTGTATGAAGTAAAGGCTGGAGCATAATGCCTGTATACCAGAACGTCAAACTGCAAAGGCAACCACCAGTAATTCATGATTTTCACAAGGAAACTACTAAAAACAAAGAAACAAACAGCTTGCTTGATAAAATAAAAAACTTTAATCACAGTCATGGCCAGCTCCAGAGCTGAAAGGTATATTCACATCACACCACTCTGTCACTTCACGTAAAATAGAAAGCAGTACCCCTAATAGCTTATCCTTTTCTTTACAGGTGCACGTAAAGACATATGTCCCATATGTTGGGACATATTTGTTGCCAGCAGTTTTTTATAAATTTTTCTTGAGAGCAGGAAAATGGTAAAGTTCAAGAATCTCGTGTTCCAGCAGGGGAATCTATATCTGCATATGCTCTAACACGTTTCGATAAAAAGTCAGGAACACAGTTTCACCAAAGGGCTGAGTTAAATTTACTGCAAAGGAAATTTCTTACGGGAATGGTTCAGCCTGTAACAGAAGCACTTCTAACCAGGAGCTCTGGTTCTTCTATATTGCTTTAACATAAAAGGTTCTTTTTTTTTTTTTAAATCAGTGTTCTTGCAGAAACTGAAATCACTTTTACTTTTCGTTTTTCTTTCTTACGACACTGAATAGCTGCCACTAATTCATTTTGTGGCTGACATAGTTGGGACCAACTTTTCATCAGGATCAACAATGCATCCACAAAATCACATGCCTGTGTATATACAATTAGTGCTCATGCAGAACAGGCACATTGGCAGAATTACCCAATTTGTATGCAAAGATGTGGGTTTCTGAAGGCAGACGATTTCCATTATGATATAACCAGTAAAATGTATATTCAAATATGCACCTTTTTTACTTATTTGTACCTTAATGAATAATAGGAACTAAAGTTTCTTTAACAAAAGATTTGAACCTGTCATTACTGCTTTTTAATGAACAATTCTAGAAAGCACAGAATGTTTTGCATTTGCAATTTGTCTGTGAGAAGAGTCAGAAGAGATGACAATATAGGTGCTTACATTTCTTAGAAATCACCAGCATACCACTTTCCTCTTCTTAACTCCCCCCTGGCTACCATATTTCTGTGTTTATACCATGCCCGTGTTTGTGATACCAGATCTTCTTATGTAGCACATAATAAAATATCCTGTCTGTTTCATCTTGGATTTCAGATAGCATTGAAAGCACATATCAATCTCTGTCGTCTCTTGGCAGTTTATCCTTTATTTCCTTATTCTCTGTATCATACAATATTTTTGGACTGAAAGTTTAGAATCATTTTTTCATCTCAAATCATAGGGAGAACTGTGGCTAAGAAAAACTACATTTACCTTTATGAGCATTTGGTGAGGAAGCTCTGGCAAACACTGATATTTTAAAACGTGTCAGTCTGTGCTCGATTGGTACTTCTCACACTTCAGATATACCGCAACATATTGCCCTGTCAAAAAAGCAAAATTATGTTATAGCAAATTAAACACTCCAACACGCACAACAACAGCTACATCTGCCCCACTAAACAAAACAAAGCCAAGAGGTTAGTTGGAAAACACTGCTCATCCGTTCTGCTTAGCTGTTAGCTCGGCCCCTGGCAGCGGTTAGGCTACAGCCAGCACTGGGGACCATTCCCAGGAAGGACCAGGTTTGTCTTCCCGCCGTCCTTCGGGGTCCCCCAGTGACATCGCAGCAGGCCTGACACCCTCCGGCGTCCCTTACCCCAAGCCCTAACGCACGCAGCACTCGCCCTCAGTATCCCGCTATAAATACACGGGCATAGCTGTGATACTGCCCTCAAATTAATTAAGGGACTTGGAAGGGGGGGGGACACAAAAAGGG